GAAAAATGAGAATATCGAGGCAAAATGTGATTTGCGTTCGGCACCCGGCTGTGATTGACGCCGGAAAGCTTCGCTGTGTTTTGGCGAGTGTGGTCGACTCTCGATTTTAGTCCAAACGACCATCATTGTGTATTTTCCCCTGCGAGGAAACAACAATCCCTCTTGTGGAAATCATTTTTAATTTTAATGGAACATTTTAGATTTTTGTAAATTTTTTTATTGTGTTCCTGATATTGTACAAAAGTTTAAGCATTGTACTGTTGCATATTTATTATTTATTATAGGCACAAATCAATTTTATTTTCTAATTTAAGTTTTGGAAAAGAATAAAAAGTATATTTAAGAAATCAATGTCATTTGTTAAAAGTGCCAAAAGTGATTCATGATGCTGAATTTGCTCTGCTAATTTACTTTTTAATAAGAAATTTTCCATGAAAGATTACTGTGCGGTTGTTTTTAGTGAACAAATTTGTTTATTTAACTATGTTATTTTTACTTTTAAACGTATTAATAAGTATTATAATTTTCGTAGTGGGAAGCAAACATTTGGTGTACAATAAAAGCACAATTTGACACATAATATTTAAAATATTTTTTTAGATAACCTGTTTCTTAAAACAAATTTTAAATAACTATAAATAATTACTATTAATTTTTTTGCCTTTAATTTCTAATTATTACAAATTATGAAACAAAAATTAAAATATCGTCGCGTCCGCGGCCAAATGACCAATCTGGTAATTACCCCTGTGGGGAAAATGACCACTGACGATTTTTGACTGTGGGGAAAGTGTCCAATCTGGTATTTCTGGATAATTTTTTTTCTTTGTCAGTATGTTCAGTGTAAAAATCTGCATCAGAAATAACCATGACAGTTCATACTTTATTGGTAGAAGTCTCACTATCGCGAGCTCAAAGAGCAAAAGTAAGGCTGTGCCACGCCCCTTTATCAAGTCGGAAATTGCTAATATTGGTTTAAATGCAATAAATGTGAAAAATAATGAAAATATAAAAACTAAAAAAATTATTAAAATAAATTTGATAAATTTTATTAAATACCTAACATTGAGTAAGAAGTAAGATACCAGCATAAGCAGTACAAATTGAAATTATATAATATTATTAAAATGTTTAAAAAAATCATAAAAATATAAATTAAATAGTAATACGGATTATAATTATTATTTATATATTTTTATAAAATTCAATTGAAAATAGAATAGCAGTAAAAAAATCACTTGCACTATTAAATTTCAACTGCATTGTATGTGCTACTCGTTTAATGTGCAATTTCTTCCCTTTTAGTTTCTTACTATAGAGGTATATTGAGATGCAAATAAAAAAATTATTTGAAAAATGATTGGCAAGGGCATGCTGAACTTGTTTTCAAAAATTGGAATTTGAAAATTGAAAATTGGAGCAGATAATCAGTTTTTTGCTTCTCCTGTAAAATTGATAAAAAACCAGATTGGACATTTTCCCCACAGGCAAGAATCGTCAGTGGTCATTTTCCCCACAGGGGTAATTACCAGATTGGTCATTTGGCCGCGGACGCGACGATATATATGATCAATAAATTTTTGAATAAATTTTTTAATTTTATTTAATTAAAAATAAAAGCGTAATTCTTGACATTTTTATAGCATTAAACATCAGCGCAAAGCACTAAAAAAATCTAAAATATGTAATTAAAAATCAAAACAACACGCTTCATTGCAATGTATTTGTTACTTAACAAAAGAAATTATTCCTCAGTGCGAGACGCGTGATTTAATTTGCTCATTTTATTAATAATTTCATAATCTTATTAAAATTATTTCTAACTCTAAATTGTTTTAAAGATTTTGTTGAAAGGTTATAAATAATTTTAACTTTTTTAAGATTTTTTGTAACTTACAAAATAAAAGGTATAATAGTTCATAATGTTACTCAGTTTAATAGATCATTTTTTTTTAGAAGTTTCTGTTTTCCTCAATTTTTAACCAATTGAATATTTTCACAGAAGCTCGATTTTTTCACCTAAATTTTTTGTCCAAGCAAAGATAACATGACCCGCGGCAGTGCTTTGATTAAGAGTTTTAATATTCCACAATTAATTGGATTTTTCACAAAAAGAGCGAGTTCTGCGATTTATAACTGAGTGCCCGGAGCTGCATAATAATGTCCTTATTTATCGGGAAAATGCCTCGTGTTTATTGTTCCTTTCAATCGCAACTCATTTTGAAAAACAGGCCCAAAGACATTTGTTACGACGAACATGTGATTTGTTCCTGTGCGCGCTTTATCGAGGGGAAGGAATTACGTTCCACAGAATATACGTATACGACGAGAAAATAAACAAAACACTAAAAATCCACACGCACTCTGCACGACACACAGGAAGAATAAATATTTAAAAAAAAACATCGCGCCCGCTTAAGCGAATCGAAAAATAAAAAATATGGCATTAATTTCCTCTGGCTACACTTCTCTGCTCCATTTTTTTGCCGCACGTGGAAAATTAATGCTGTGTTTGTGTGTCGCCTACGTCTTTCTGAACGAATGTTGCATTAATTGGAAAACCGGTGTAGGTAAATTATTGAAAACAAAATAAATAAATTTCCTCGCTCGACGGAGCTCAAAGATAAAAAGGCTTCTGCGTGCGAAAAATGATGAAAGGAAACATTTTTCAGCACCGGCAACGCCGCACAATGTGAAAATATTTTCATTTCATTTAAACCTCGCCTTGAGCTTCATCAAACATATAGATTTGCTGGCGCTCTCTAATAAAAATTTAAGTCCCCGCTCTGCGCGGCTCTCTCTGTGTGGCGATAAAAAGCCTGCTTTTGATGAATGAAACATCTGCATGAGCAAAGTTTTTTAGCTTTGACTTTGCACACACACACATTAATAAAATAAAAAGCAGCTTGACTTTTTGTGCCGAATGGAGCAAATTATATACCTTTTGGGCTTTTAGCTTGATACAAATTAATAATACAATATGGATTCTCTGCAAATGCCACGTTTCGTTATTTGTCTCTGAATCACCACAATTCACCGCTCCGAGCAACGCTGGTTGCAACTTTAAGTAAATTTTTAATGTTCCTGATTCATTCAATTCATAATAAATTCGTTAAAAGGATTAATTAAATAAATGACTCAAATTCATTCGTTGTGTACAAACGGAGGTTATGCAACACGCTCGACGCCTTTGCTCGACAGGCTGCTTCAGTTGTTACTCTCAGGCGCTTATAAAAACAAAAATATATTTTTTTCTCACTCAGTGATTTCTCATTCAAATGGATTCAATTGAACTTAACAAAAAATTTACATCGACTATGCAGTTAAAAATGTTTTGATTGGTTTTTTCGTCACTTAAAAGTTCAATCTGCGACAAATATGTCTTTTTGATTTAAAATTATGTGTTTTTAAATCGCATTTCTTTTTTAATATTTTCTTGAAAACATTTTAAAAGGATTATTGGAGTATTATAAAAATTCCTTCCAGAAATTTAATACTGCAATCATTACAAAAATCAAGAAAAAGGAAAAATTTCAAGAATCATATAATAATATTCTATATTAAGCGCAATTATTAATTTTGAAACAAAATTAAATTAAAATAATACATCCTTTTTTCAATAGATTGGTAAAAATTGTGTTTTTAAAAGACTTTTTGTTACAAAGCAACCCTGGAAAAACGAACAACAATTACTCTTTTTGTAACAAAAATTTAAAATAAAAAGTAGTCTGTTTTTTAAAACAAAATTCTTCTCTCTTCTTACTATTATTTTTCAAATCGATTAAGTAAACGCTATCAGCAATAGAAATACGTTCTCACAGAAAAAATTTAGATCCGCATCGTGTTTACTTTTGCGATACTTCAGCTATACTTTTGCTATTCACTTGCTTTACTTTTTAAAAACTGTATACCTGTTTAACACGGGCCTTATGAGGGAGGGTTTTTATACCTGCTCGTCAAACTATTGTGTTTTGTAAAGAAAGGAGGGGGAGGGATGCAAACGCATGTATTTTAGAGCGCGGCCGGCAAGGGTCGCGCAGCAGGCGAGCTGTCAAAAGTAAACCTAGAGTATTGCAAATGTATGCGTGCGGGACCGAAAAATAAGCGTTTTAGACCGCGAGACGTGATGAATACTAAAAGTATACTAGAAGTATCGCAATTGTAAACACGATGGGTACCTAACCGATTTCTGTGAGTTTCTTCTACAGGAGGATGGTGGTTTGTGTGGAAAAATAGGCGTCCATATTTGTGTAAATGCCAGGGACGTGCTCAACTGAATTATTTGTATGTGAAATCTGGAGGCCAGAAAAATAGCCAGCGCATTACTCACGAGATTGGAAGGAGACTCAATTTGAAAATATTGTAAATTGGGGGATCAAGACTGGGGGGAGTGTTGTGTATCGCTTGGTCACTGCTGATAAATGAGAAAATATGTATGGATGCTTGGTGGATTTCGCGCGGGTGGCGGAAAATCGCGTTTTTTTATGAGCTGCGAGATAGTGGCGCGGCGGCATTAGGCCGATGCATAAGCTGTGCCTGCTTGTAAAATGTGCATCATTTTTTAAGGCAAGATCATATATTATAATAAAGCGAGGCTCTGAAAGCAATTTCCTGCTGTCCAGTCGGTCCATCATCCCTCTCTATCGCACGCCACCTGACTACATTGGCTGTGCATTAACATCTCCCGGCTGCCCTCCCGGGTTTACTCTGCTTTTTCTACCGCATAGTATAAGCAACCAGAGAGATCCTTGTTAATTTAATTTTGGTAAATTTAAACAAAAATTTTATTTTAAATTTCGTTGGAAAAATAATTTATTTTGACTATGCTTATAAGAGAAAAATTAGTAAAATTGTTAATTGATACACAATTCATTATCTTTTCATCTCATCAGTTTGCGTTTTAAGCTTTTAATAGTCTTTTTTCTGAACTTAAGTAGTTTATATTTTTAAGTGGTATGTAAAATTTAACAAAATGTTATTTTTGGAGATTTTTTTTGTCATTTTTGCATTGACATATTTTTTTTTTTTTAGCACAAATAAGACTTTTGAAATCAAACTGAATATAATTACATTCAAAACAAAACATCTCTTCTTGATTAGAAATCAAACTTTTTTTAACTCAACTCACAAGCAGGTAATTAAATCGCCCGAACCTTTTTGTAGAGAAGCAAGTAGCAGTCCTTCTGGAGTCCAGCATCTTTTCTTGTCGGAACTTCCCTCATGAGGTCCTCTTTCGTTATCACAGTCACGTCCTGGTCATCGCACTTGAGCCACTGATTTTCGAATTCGCTGTAGATGTAGCAAAAGCAGTGGCCAAGATCACTTTTGGTGCCTTCGTGCATAACAACAGCAATCAGCTCGTAGTGAATGTTGTGCTGAAAAATTCCATGCAAATTAAAATTTGAGGCGAATAGCTTGAAAATTTACCTGCATCATTGATTCATCGCCTTCATTGGGAACTTCCGAGATGGTTTCTTCAAGACCATGTGTGTAACTTTGGTTCTTTACGCTAGCAATTAAAAATTTTAGCAAGGAAAAACTTTAAATGTAATTTTATTCATTACATTTTTGTCTCATCATAGTGGCAAGTGAGAACAAGGTCTGTGGAAACCTCAACCGGAACCTTATTCCGAGCATCAGTTCCGTTTTCAGTCCTGGCAATTTGAACCACTAGATTGCTAATAACAAGAAATCGATTAATGAAATGGCAGTTGAAAAATTGATTAATTCCCAATACTTAATGACTTAACTAGACTTTAATCTTGTTTTATAAGTAAGAAAATTTAATTCTTTAAATATTCCAAAATAAATAACACGTAAAAAATAAAAATAAATCAGACGAAATTTCTTTTTCTTTCTATTTATAGAAAATATGATTTCCGAACTGTGACCAAAATTGGTAGTTGAAAACAATTTTAATTAAGTATGACGTGATTTTCACTTAAATTTAAATGTTAATAATAAACTTCTTACTCGGGGAGCTCCAGCATCCGAGATTCAACCGTATTTTTCTGGGAGCAACACTCAAAATTTCGCTCATCCTTCAGACTGATGGCAATCAATTCCTGCACCGAACGATTTTTCTCAGGAACCACGTTGTAGAAAATGCATTTGTCGGGAACAGTCAGAGTTTTGTGACACCTTAAAAAAATAATAATAATTATTTACATTAAAAATAGTTTCAGGCTTCTTACTGCTGGCAGACCGTATTTGTTGTGATGAGGAAAGGTGTTGATGGATCATGATTGAGTCCCAGTTGGCCGAATTGGTCAGCCAAGTAAGGAAGCAACATGGTGATGAACTCGGCAGGGTCTTGATGGGATGCCCCATCCATACCAAATTCATCAACAGAAAGGTGCCCAAATCCTCTGATCAGTTTGTCCAGCTCGGCACGTGAGACCTTTTCTCTGCCACTGATTCTGCGCGCGATTCTCATCAAAGCGTGGAGATCCTTGAATTCTTCAACATCGTCGGATGGCAAGTCTTTGAAGAAGTTGAGAAAGTGGGTCGAGGCCATCAAAAATTGGATCGAAGATATAATGAAGCAAATGATGCCTGTGTTTTTGAATCTGTGTACATCAAATATTTACACTCGATCGTAAAAAAAGGAATAATGAAATTTGTGCTAATTTTACCCAGGGTGATTGGTGGAATTTCGACAAACTTCCACTTTCCTGAAAGGAAACCAAAATTTTGAACATACATATATACATGAAATATAGGAAGTCGTACTTGCGCTTTCTCATCACATTGGAAACAGCATCAGCAGACTGTGAACCTTGCCTGAAAAAAACATCATAATCTTATTAGTATTTGGATGCTTTCAATGAGGAATAACAATACATTTTTTCTACAAACTAAAACCTTGATTATTGAAAATGATTTTTTTACTTTGATGCTTAATATACAAATTACAAATTTTTTATAAATTTTAAAACACCACAAATTAAAAACTCATAATTGGTTTCTTTACATTGCTTCAATAAATAATTTGATCAGAGAAATTTTTGAAATGAAGAAATGTTTCTTTCTGATATTATACATAAATTTTTTTTTATAAAATATCAACATATAAGAAGAGAAAAAGTTTGTAATTACTTATTTTTAGTTGGTTGATCCTCCATATCAACAGTGTTGGCAACAAATTCAACGTTCGAAACAGAGATCCTCTGACGGTTTCTTCTTGAAGGATTTGTATTTTTAGTCTTCTTGCTTCTCTTACTTCTGAAATTGTAAGTAGATTTGAAGTAAGTTGAAAAAAAAATCAAATTCTCACCCTTCGTCTTCCAATTTGGGAGCCAATGCTCTACGGGGACGTCTTTTGGGCCTCATTTCTTCCATTTCTTCAGGGTTGAGCAAAGTGTCGTCATCTTTGTCAACTTCCTTCTGCTTTCGAGGATTCTTTGAACTTCTCGATAAGAAATATTTTATGAAAAACGGAATAATATAATAATTGGTTCCTCTCTAACCATTTATTCTGCATGGCTTCAGTCAGCAAATCGGCGATTTTCCTCTCACTTGGAGTGGCCTCAGGTTGAACCTTGACCTTCGGAGGGTCGACTTGGCACACATTGAGTAGGTGCTCGACCAAGTTAGGCCTGTTTGTGAGTGGAGAGCTAGGTTTACTTCTGGTCTTTCGAGCGGCACCTTTATTCACTCGGCCCTTGGCCTCGTTCTTCTTGATTTTCAAACTCATCGCGAGGATCGCTGAACTGGTAAGAAACAAATGATCTACGTCGTCCAAGTTCTGTGAACAAATTGCAAACAATTCGAATGTATTGTCTCGTTACATTTAAATTTCAATGGCATGAAAAATAATAATAGTAAATGTCACCACGATCAAATAGATACTGGTTTTTCAAATTAAAGTTTTTTTTTTAGATTAATTTACGATTTAGCCGTTTTTAAATTCCAAAGGAAAAAACTGACCCGCAACAGTCAAAATTACTAATTGAACAGACAGCAAAAGAGTATGAAAATTTCATTATTTTTATTTTTTTAAGAACTTGACATAATATTCAAATCAAGTCTTTCCAATTGTTGCCCAATAATGCAAAAAAGTCTCCCATTGTCCTAAAGAGACTTGGTTTGACTAGGCCAACAACGAGTCTTTGTTACAAAAAAAAAAATCTGGAACAGAATTTTCCAACAAATTCAAAATTGGCGAATATAATTCCATTCAATCAGAGACCCTTGAAGAGTCACAAATATAATGAAATGCATAAATCACGGCAAATCTCGACGGTCGGCAAAAACGAATTAATAAAAAAATAAAAATTTGCAAGCTCGAGGGAGAAATTTTTCCATTTAACGCCACGTTCTGACGTATGGCCGGGCAAATGAAAGCCCGTCATGCGTGAGACTCACACTTATAAAATTACTCATAAAATATTATTTATTCATACGCGAGAGCGGGTGTATGCGTGTGTGTGTGTTTATTTTTTCCATTTTATTTTTCGAAAAATTTACGGTTCAGTTGGACCCATCAGGTAAAAATTTACTCTCTGGAGAGAGATGAATAGATGGTTGGTTGGCTGGATGACTGCTGTGGGTGGGCTGCACGCGGTGGACGAGGCGCTGCAAAAACATACACACGCAGGTGCTTCTCCTCGCTAATTTACGGAGCACATTTTCTCTGGTTCCGCGCACTTTTGCGAGTTTAATCAATCCTTGCGTGAAGAGGGAAATTGGCGAAAATTCAATTTGAACTCAAAATCATTGGCATTTCACGTAGAATGATTTCTAAGAAAAAAAAATATTAATTCAATTAAAAAATAAATATATTATTTTGCCTTTTTGTTAGATTAAAAACGAATTCTTCACAAGAAATTTATAATTTTGGGAGGGAAATACTGAAAAAAATGACACCTTCCCTAGCAGGAAATTTTGCTAAAACTTCCCAGCACCTTATCCTATCTGTCAAAGCCTTGGTTGAATATAAAATTATTTTAAACCTACAATATATTCTGTAAAAGTTCAGTTTTGTTTTTCAAATTGGCACGGTTGCATTCAGAATACAATTGTATAAATATCTCACTTTATTTAGGGAAAAATCAAATCAAAACTCAAATTTCCAGAAATCAACAGAAATTGACGGCTTTTTAAGATTTGGTTTTGCAGGTTGCATGATTTGTATTGTTTAAATTCAACTGGTGAAAGACATTTTATTTTTTTAAATTCATTCATCTAATGGATCTTTGCGAATTGTGTCATTCTAATAAATTATCAGCCTAAAAAATGAATATTTGAATCTTAAGCATAAATAAAAACACAAAAATAACAATCAATTATTTTAATTTTTTAGAGAGTTTTATTGACACTGTCAATTCAATTATTCTTCAATTTTTTATATTGTTGTAGTTAGTATAAATTTGCAGTTCAATCTTTGAAAGCCATCATAAATTTTTGGAACAAAAAATGAAATAAAAAATCTTAATACTTCTGTAATTTTAATTAACTTTTATAAAGCTTTATTAAAAACGTGACGCTTTTAACAAACAATACATTTTTTGTCATTTTTTTTTCTTCCATTTTGGTTTGTATTTTGGACAATTAAATTAAAAATGTAATACAAAAGTTCTGTTTTAGTTTTTTTTATGGAAAATTATGCTTTATCAGTGAAAAACTGTAGTTATGAATTATTATAATTACAATTTTAAATTAGTTCATGTGGCAATAATTACGAATGAAATTAATATAAAACCACGGCAATAAAAAGAAACATAAAAATCCACGTTGCGTTTATCCAAATTAATTCCTCAATTTTCATAATATGGAAAGGATGATTTTCATTATCAGCCTCGAAGTGACCAAGAGTGAGTGTTCGATGTGTGTGGAACCTTAGCGCGGAGATAGAGTCGTCCGGCTGATACGACTGCCGGTCACAATCGTCATAACAAATGAATCTGGAACCAGCGCGGCAAGCACACATAAAGCAGAATGAATAAATATGCGACATCATACACACCATACACTCTGGTGCGCCATTTATATATAATACATGTAAGCGAGCTGCGAGAGAGCGAGGGACGGCGGAGAGCACTTTTCATTGTCACAATATTAAATAAACGAGCTCATAACTTATTTATAAACACATTTTTTATTTTATCTGCTGTAAATTTCTCCCTGGTCCGGATGCAACAGTGGTGCTGCGTCCAGTTGGCCCCCGGAATGTTAAAAAAAATGGCAGAAATGTATAAATTTGGAAATGATCCTGGCGCTTAGTACACTTTTATGACCGCCTGCTGAATTCGGAGCTTTGGAGGCTATTTTGACGCTTGAAATAAATCGCGATGACAATTTTTCCACCGGCTGTCAGGCGCAGTTCATACTCAGTTATGATTGGTGGCTTTTTTATAATAACGTTTCCAAAAAAATATGCCATTAATGAGCTGAAAACTAGAAACGTTTAAATTCAGAAAAATTCATGTTAATAGAAGCGATTTTGCTCTCATTAAATGCAATGTTAAATTTGTGTAAAAATCTTAATTTTCTAATTTGTTTGCAACTGAGTTAATTTCAATATATTTATCTCGCTTTATATGCAATAATTACCTTCTTTTTAAAACCCATAATTTAGCAATTGCATGTCAGAAGCAGATATTAAACACTCATTTGATTTTAAACATTTTAGTAATTTACAGTGGCAATTTCTGTAGCAAAATTGAAGCCTTCGTTTTGAAAATATGTCTTACTCGATTATTATTAGATTTAGAATTAGCTTCTTGAACAATATTATATTATAATTATTTAAGATTTAAATGAAGTTGAACTGCACAATAATCATACTAAAATATTGATATATAAATAGTGCAAAAAGTTTAAGTCTGAAATTATATAAAAATTGCATCTCTTCCGTCTTCCCAAAACTAGATGGGAACATTTTCACTTTCCAAATCATTTCCACAAATATTTTCCCCGAATCATAATTTCAATTCGAGCAAACCGACGGGGATCTAAATCGCCAGCAAATATTTCAGCAAGTGCTTAGGCATTAAATCAGGAGGATTATTAATGCGGTGGGTCACTTATTTGCGCATTGGATTCGGACGGACCTTTACAATTATTGAGTAGCGCGCCGATTCCTTGCGCAAATACTAAAGTCCTCGGGCGAAAGGGGATGAAATTTATGCAGCGGCAAGAACATTTTAATCGTGCGGCTGCCGCCGCCCGAGCAAACAACCCGTCTGTTTGCCTCTCTCAATGTGGATTTGTCGTTTGATTTAATTTGTTACGCTCGAACAAAGCACTGCAGTGTTTTGCTTTGGAAAGTGCAAAATATTATTATAAATGAATTACACGCCGCGTGGAATGCAGCACACGCAATGCGGCGCACAAATGTTGCAACAAAGCCATACTTGACGGACGGAATTAATCGGCCGCTCTTTGGTAATTTGTCATCAGCTGGACGTGAACAATGCCGAATTTTTTCGAATTCTAGTTTGGCTGCTGCCGGCGTAACAAAAGATGAAAGATGGCTAATGCGTGCCATACCAAACAAATTGTTTTTGAGCTGCAATGCTATACTCAAAGTTAAAGAGTAAAATTATTCAATAATATATTTTAAAATCATATATTTATATTCTTTTATATTATTATTTAAAGAAACACTATTTATTAATAGTATTTTTCGTTATTTTTAACATTAAGTCATGTTATTTCAAAATAAAAATTATGATGTTATAATTTCAACCAATCAACCTTTTGTTTCATAAAAATCCAATGCTAATTTATTGAATGAAAAATTTGTAAATATAAGTTTTGGATATCATTGTCTTGTAGTAGAAAAGCAGTATAAAAATTTATAATACAATGAATGATTTGAGATTTTAAACCATTATTAATTTGAACTAAATTACACATGAAACATAATTATATAATTGTTAACCTATGAAAGGTTGTCACAACTGATATATATGCAAAAATACATTGAGAGAATGAACTTATTACCCAATATGCCATGGGCTCACCCCATTTCCAAGCTTCTGCAATTATATTGAGGAAATTATAGAATTTATATAAGAATATTATAAAAAAATTCATACTGGAATATTAACAGACATATTCATACTCAAAATTTAGGACCATCAAGTTTGCAGTTCGATTGTTTCCATTTGAATAAATTCTAAGCCGGGTTTCTTGTTGAATAAAACAGTCTTCTCCCTGAGGATAATTCTTAGTTTGAAAAGCAGACTCAATTTTCGTTTTTATTTTTATTTTGAGTATCGTGAATTTAAAATCGTGTGAAGGGCGCCGTTGATTGACGAGGCGTAATTCGCAAAAGCAGAGAATCACTTGAAATCGCATTTGGCGGCGCGACGAGGCCCACAGTCGGATCCAATAAATGCAAAGCAGCAACCCTTCCAAATTGTCTTTGCACTACTCGAGCAATCCATCCGTCCATATCCATCCATCTCTGGCACCCACACGCGGACCCTGCCTGCACACACACCCGTCCAACGGACCGTGCGTATAATATATATATACGTGTGTGTACGAATTCTAATTCCAAACCCTTTTCTCGGCCCCTAATTATACCGGCTGTCTGGTGATTCTAATGGTCAGGGGCGGACGAGAGAGCGAGCGAGAGTATAATTTAGTTGCTGGTAATATAAAGGCCCCCCATCATCCTTTATTCTTAGTGCTGCTAATGCTGTGCCCGACTCGATGGGTTGCGAGGATATTTGCGAAATTGTCTGCGCTTAATATATATATTGGCCTCATTCGGCCCCTCCACCCCCTCGATCT